TGAATTTCATTTTATCTTAAAATGTCCACATATATCATGATTTCAGAATACAATACATCAAACAATATTATGTTAAAAACCAAGGGTCTTTAGTCAATTCAATAATTAAGCATTCAGGATGTCAAAGAAATGTCTAAATTGGTAAGATTTTTGTTAAGTGCCTCATAATAGATACTGAGTCTAAGAACTACTTAACTGTTTTGAGGTATAAATTGTGTATGTCCACAATTATTACATATAACACAGAAAGATTTGAATACTTTTATATACGTATGTTTCTATGTGCATGTAATGCATGAAGTCTACTTGTATTAACATACATTACTGTTTATATTGTGTCATATTATCTGATGTGCCATATGGCAAAAGGAAAATAAAGAAAGTGCCATATGGCATAAGGAAAATAACGAATATACAACTTTACAAAATCCCTGCCTCAAAATTATATTGGATATTATACATGTAAATCTTATACGGTGCCAATTTTATTGCACAAGATGCGAGTTTCAACAAATGATGTGTCTTCGGTGATGCTTATGCCAAAACGTTGGAAATCCGAAATATTTAAATTAAAAAAAACTTGGAAGAGCTGAAAAAAAGGGTGCCAAGGACTGCATAGAGCCACATACGTCGAAGGATCAGAGCTATGCACGAGGGAGATAATCCTTAATCTTGAAATATAGTTCTAAATTTTACCACAGTAATTAAATATATATCCGTATTTTCAAGCAAGTACCGAGATACGTAGCTACTGGGCTATAGAGAACCTTGGGGACTAAAAGGCCATACATGTAATTATTCTATTGTTGTCACTTGTTCAACATCAAACACACAAAAATAATTCTTAGAATGATTTTATTTTATTTTTGGAATGAACCAGATTTATATCAACCTTAAGCCATAAAAACTTGTAAGTACAACGTGATTTTTCTTCTATGTGATTTCACACATATTTTGAATTTCTTATGTAACTGTGTCAACTTTACGTGGTTATTTTTTTACCACACTATACAATAACCATTTATTCTTTTATGTGGCATCAAGCATAAACGTATAAAAAAATAAAAAAGTAATGCATTTCAAAGAGTTCATATTATTTTTTTTCTTAACAAATCCTGAAAGTCCTGTCGGAAAACATAACTAGTAGTATTCATTAATTTTAAGATATAAAACCAAAACTCCCGGGGAAAGCATTGTCTTATTTCTGTAAAGTTATCTATTGAAGATAAAGTAGTCTACACAAAAACAATAAAAAAAATAATAAATATCACAAAATTATATATATTCATAAGCTTTTAAAATCGTATTGATCACACAATATTCTTGATATACAAAAGTTCTGCTTAATATTCTACACTTACATACACGTATCAAAACATGTTAAATACATGTTTAATACATGTAGTTTTGTCATGAGTATTTTACGATAAAAGATATATATAAAGACAAAGATGACTTCATTAAATGTAAATAAAGGTAATATACTCTTATAATTCTCCCTTCAAAGAGGTCTTGTACACAGAACAGCTGCATTTAGCTAATTTGATGATTCAAAGCTTTAAGTAAAATTAAACAAACCATTTTTTTAACTGAACAAACGATTATCTCATTTATTTTAACGGCGACAATATGTTCCGACGAACGACAATAAGTGGTTTGGGGAAGATACATATTGTCGTCGACGACAATATGTACAAAATGACAATATGTACCGTCATACTCCCATCCCCTCCCATACACGCACACACAACCACCAGAAAAATAAAATATCCAAAAACTTACACTAGCTTGAGTTGAATTTTCCCGAAATTGAATCCATTACTTTTTCCCGAAATTTAAACATATTGTCAATTTACATCCCCCCAAAATTACTATTCGTGCAAGTTTCAATCGGTTAGTCTTCTGTACATGCTATTGATAATTTTGCAGAAATCATCCAAAGAGATTGCAGCAGGCAAAATTAAACAAAAACAAGAAAAATTATGAGCATTGGTGTTATCTTTTTTTTAATAAAAACAAAAGACTTATATGTTTTATGTTTTGACTTCCTTTCTGAAAAATGCATGTACTCAGATTTTGTTCAAATTGAATCAGTTTTGTGATCATCTCTTCAATATGAGAAAAGCAATATAGCATTGGTCATTTGATAGCAAATTTTGTGTTTCAAAATTGGGATATTGCTTTGATGATCAATGTTGGGAAACACATTCGAACAAAAGGATTTTAAAAGGATCTACATATTAGAGTTTTGTTGATTCAGTAAATTTATTGATATCAAAACACGCCTGGAGCAGGGTATCTTCAGAGATTAATTCATGGGGTTTATCTTGTGAATTTTGCATGCATTCTTCATTAATTTCAATCTCAGCTTTGACTGACACTTCCTTTTCCTTATTGCTGTTAACAACCTCTCTCATTTCACTTGTGAAATCTGCGTTGGTCGTTTTATTTTTAACCACTTCGCTGTAAATATATTTTTCACATTCTTCATCAGGGGATTTGATTGGCGGGAAGTCGGGCTCGCGATGACTGACGGTCGGTTCGTTTTCATCTAATGTTATGTTAATTTCACGAACATGTACCGCATTGGAATCGTCGTACATATCCAAATGCATGTTGTAACTGGTTGAGTCTTCGAATGTTTCTACTAATAGGTTGTCTAATATATCCATATAAATATCAGATGAAGCTTCATTACTACTCTGAACAACATATTTTCTTTTGCATTTAATTATTACTCTAAGAATTATGAATAATATTACACTCAATATTACTATTCCGGACCAAATAACTATACCGAAAATAAAAGACTCGTTGTTACCGTTGTCATCAGTCCAATTTTCTGAGTGATTTTTCGTTGTCAAACTATACTGTGATGAAGCTGCGGTCATCTCTTAAGTTGAAAGAACATGAGACAATGTAACTTTATCTTTGGTACCTTTACAATACACAATAAACATTATCTCACGTAATATAGAATACATTTACCATTGTAGGATGTAGAAAGCTCAACCCCGATTCCTGAGATGTATTTTGATTCCGAGGGAAAATTTGAAGAAGATGTCATGTTTTCTTCATTTTCTTAAACAGAAAATGGTTCGATACTACTCCGATGTTTTTTCACAAATAAATTATTACACATTTTAAGAAATCGCCTTTTTTGTTTGGATGATTTAAGAAAAAAATATTTTCAAAAATCTAAATGGTCTTTCTTCAAAATTATTTCTTAAATAAATATTTTGTAATGGACACATTAAGTTAAAATTGCCAAACAGTGTTCTGATTTTTAAAATTATTCTTAAATACTACAAGTACCTGAGATAATTATACATCCATCTTTGTTATTGCAATATTCCCGTGAACAATTGCATTTTTCGAGGCATTTAGATCCAAACCAGGGATAAACACATGCAAATCTACATTGGTCACCGAAATATCCTGGAAGGCAAGCTGGAAAAATAAAGCAAATGACAGAAGAATAATCCATATTAGATGTATTTTCCATTGCAAATCATGTTTTATTCGATAAAACTTTATTTAAGCGTTACATGTCGAAATGGTCTTATTGGCAACTTTAAATTTTCTCTCGCCATTTTTCGCAGTAGCTAGAATTTCAAGCAATTGAACTGTTTTACGAAAAGATGTTCAAATAAACTTCATTTCTTTACAAAGCAAATACTTCAAAGTGATTTTGCGTATCTGATTATTTTGCTCCTTAGTTTAAAAAAATATGAAATGCCAACTTCTAACAAGACGCTTGCATTAAGCGTACATGACTGAACTTTCTTTTTATCAAGTTTTTGAAAAATGAATATAAAATTGAATATGTCAAAGTAAGCATTATATTTTTTTTTTTTATTTCGAATTATGTAAGTTTGTCTCAAACATGAATGGAATAGACAACAGGTACTGCCTATATAAGCTTTCTCCTTGAATTACCTTGACAGATATTGTTGACTTTGTAAAAGTGTGTGCAACATTTCTCTCCTGCAGATGCATCTCTAAATTAAAAGTTAATTTTAATAAATAAAAGTTTAATTAAAAGCATCTCTATATTAAAGTTCTTAAACATCTTAAAGCTGTAGTAATACATTAAATTCTACAACAAATGCAAGTACATAAAACTCGGTTTTACGAAAGTAATTTAGACATCGAAATAGTCTATATTATCTATTTCCGTATAAAGAATATAGTGAATATAGTGAGAAGTCTTCTTCGGGATTCGTTAAAACAAATTCCTTAAAACCAAAATTTCCTTATTAGCGATATCTTTAAAACCGAGTTTTCCTGTATTTATTAGTTACCTACCTCACTGAACAAGCATTAATGACAGGTGCTGATAATATGGACACTTTTATAACTGCTGAAAAAAGCCTTATATACATGTACATTGTGAATTCAATTTTGACTACCGTCACTATCAAAAAACATGTTAAACATATATTAAGTGTTCTACATGTATCGCTGGTTTAAAACTCAATGAAAAATAAAATGACCACGTGTGACATAACTGAACACTCTGTAGAAATTGTTCCATTGTAAACATTTTAATCCGGCAAAAGTTGATTCATATTTCCTCGTGTTTGAAGGAAAACACGGATATTTCCGTTTTTAATATCATATATATATATATATATATATATATATATATATATATATATATATATATATATATATATATATATATATATATATATATATATATATATATATATATATATATATATATATATATATATATATATATATATATATATATATTATATAAATCCACAGTGCTCGGAAAATTATAGGTACAAATTTAAAAAAATGAAACACGAAAACGTTTAGTAAAGCTTTAGCGCTTTCATTTTCAATCTTCAGAAGCTTTACAATAGGTAACATAGCAACATAACGTCATAACGTCATAATAAGCGGAACACAAATTCTATAGTGACGTCATAGTTAAACAATGCGGGAAATTTGTAGAATGAAAACAATATGTACAATTGTGATTACGATTACGATAAATTGTTAAGTTTAGGTTTGAAAACATGTATAAAATGTTTTTCTTTTTCGCGTCCCTGGATGTCACTTTCATTTGAAAGTTTGTAAAAAGGAAATATAGTAAACTGTTTATTTCCACAGCGATCCAAATGCTCACTTAGAGGGATTTGTCGATATTCCGGTGAGTTAATATGTTGTCTGTGGACACGCACACGGGCGCGGAGCGGGTTGCTTGTTTCCCCGATGTAATACTGGTGGCATCCAGGACATGTAATTACATATATTACATTTTTAGTGTCACAAGACATATTTGCGTTGACTGTAAATTGTCTTCCGTTAAAGTTATAAGTTGATCCTTCTATGATATGTTGGCATGTCCCGCAACGTGAGTCCTCACACTTGGCGACTGCGCAGGTATTTTTAAAATGGGAAGAACACAGGATTCTTCTAAGATTCCTAGGTTGTCGTCTGCTGTTGATAAATTTTACATCTTTATATATTCGTTTTGTTGATAGGTCATCTTTAAGAATGTTGTTCAGTTGGTGAATTATAGAGGTCAAGTTATGATTCCGTGGGTTGTGAGTATGCACAAATGGAATAATTTCCGTTTTATTTTCCTTGCTCTTTGTAGACAGTAATTCAGATCGTGTATATCCTTTGGCTTTCAATATACCGTTATCTATGAGGGTTTCAGGATATCCCTGTTTTATAAGGTACGACTTGAGCTCTTTAAGTCGGATATCTCTAGTGTTATCATCGCTAACGATAGCACATAAACGTCTAGCAAGATTGTAAGGGATTGCTGTTTTTGTATGGTGAGGGTGACAGGAAGCAAAATGTAGGTACTGGTGGGTGTCAGTTGATTTGTAATATATATCCGTAGAAAGTTTTGTATCTTCTTTGATGACTAGGACGTCAAGAAAAGGTAATTTGGTATCACTGCTTTCCATTGTAAATCTGATATTAGAATCCAAGCCGTTTAACAACTGGTGGAAAACGGATAATCTGTCAACATTGTCATTCCATAGAATAAAACAGTCATCCAGAAATCTTTTCCATTTTGATATTATAGATTCAGCATCTTCCTCTCCCCATAGAGTGGCTAGTTGGTGATGTAGTTTCTGTTCGAGATATCCCAAGGTTAAAGTGGCATATGTGGGAGCCACTTTTGTCCCCATCGCTGTTCCTTTTGTTTGTATAAAATGATCTTTTCCAAAGGCGAAGGTATTGTTTAGAAGTATTATTCTTAATCCTTCCAATATAAATTCTTTCTCAAAACGATCTTGTAGTAAATCTGGATATCTGTCAATCCAATATTTAACAGCTTTTATACCCAAATCCACCGGTATATTTGTGTATAAACTAACGACGTCGAATGACACCAGCTTCGTGTTACTTTGAATATGGTCTGGTAGGTGATTAATAAAATCTAAATCATCTCTAATAAAGCTGGGAACTTTTTCATAATAAGGTTTTAATAAAATATCTAACAAGTGACTAAGTCTTTGTGTTGAACAATTAGGTCCCCCTACGATGGGTCGAAAAGAGAGATCTTCTGGATTAGGACAGCTAATGTATTCTCCATTTTGAGCATGTATTGCGTTTTTGATTTCCAATGATTTATGTACTTTTGGTAATCCATAAAATTGACTCTCACTGGTATCGAAGTTTGTTAGATAGTCTTTCTCTTTAGCAGTCATATTCCCGGAAGATGGCCCACTGACAAGTTGTTTTATCTTTGCTAACGTTTTTTCTCCTGATTTGCATTAATAGTTCTATAGTAGACGGGATCCTGCAGCATATTCAAAATTTTACGTTCATAAAATGCTTTATTCATGATGACTACCCCGCCTCCTTTGTCGGCCTCTTTGATAACTATGCTTTCGTCATTATATAGGTCATTTAAAGCTTTTCCCTCCTCTTTGGTGAGGTTAGATTTAACATACTTAGTAACATTGGGTAACTTTATATTATCTAGAGTATCACATACCGCATCTAGAGTTCGGTTTCTACCTCGTTTTGGGATAAAGTGGGATTTATTTCTAACGAGATCCTCTGGTTCTTCACGTTGATTATTTGGTGTTGTTTCGTCGTCCTCCGGATCCTCGTTGAAAAATTCCTTTAGTCGCAGTCGTCTTGTATATTCTTTTACGTCCGTTTTGAGTTCTTGGTTATTCATACGTGGAGTGGGAGTATATTTCAAGCCTTTAGATAATAATTTTATCTCTGCTTTAGTTAATATCCTGTCGGAAAGATTGAACACTTTAGGATCACTTGGTAAAGATTCCTGTGTTACATTTGTTTCTTCTATCTCCACTAAATTTGCGTTCTCTTTTGATAAAATTGTGGCTTGTATCTCTGCCCTTGGTTGGGCTTGCCGCCTCCTAAAAAATAGTGTCGTACACCTCGTCCTATAAATGTTGTTTTTTCATTTCTGTAGATATTTGATGGTCTATATCGCTTAGTTATCCGTTGGTTAAGGTGGCCCTTATTGTTTTTCCTAGGGTAATTTATGTGTGGATTATTTCTCCTACTATTTTGGTCTCCTGGAAAAGACTGGGTTGAATTTCGTCTCACATTATAGAGCGTTGTCCATCGAGTATATGGGCGATGTAAATTTTGCTTTCTGGGCAATGATTGACTTCCTATGTGATTTCTCGTAGAATAAGACTTTGATCCTGTCTGTACGTATACTGTATCGTTGCTGACAACAGATGCATAACTAGCTTTTGTTGTTTCCTTCTTAAAGGATGTTTTCTGTGCTGGTTTTCTTGTCGCCTCTTTTATTTGCGACTGTTTAGTAGACTCTTTGCCATATGTTCTCGCGTAATCTAAAAGCCAGGTTTCAGTGAATCGCCATCTGTTGAATGATTTGTCCTCTTCCTTTTGACAATCCGATTTCCATAATTTTTGAAGCATTTCTAAAATTAACCCAGTTGCGTTTTTCTTTAATGTTTGATCCATCTCCTCGTCTAACCTCAAGATATTTTTCTGGTTATTCTCTGCTATCATCCGTAGCAACTCTATTTCACCCCTTATGCGATTTTTAGCAACCTCTATACGTACTGCAGTTTGAGCCTCTGGTTCTCCACGGATTTCCTTTATCCTGAATTTTCTCGGAATTATAGGATTCTCTTGGTTTATCCATTTTTCATAGTAAACCGCATGGTTAGCATTGTTGATTTGCTTCCAATAGGTTTGTTTCCTGAAGTTAAGAATCTTGCTCCACTCATTTTTCATCTTTTGCTTAATTCGGTAAGCTTCCTTTTGCAAAACTAAATCATTCATTTTTCTTTGCAAAATTAAAGTTGGCGAATGATATGTGCTTACCTCTGTTCCGGTAGTTTTTACAATTGTTTCCTCTGTATCCTCGAAGTTATTGGGAAAAATATTTTGTAATTCCCGCTCCGTGCATGGAGATTGCTTCACAACATTAATCAATTCTTTTAAAAGTTTGTTTGAGCTTTATTAGAGATGATTTAGATTTTATTAATCACCTACCAGACCATATTCAAAGTAACACGAAGCTGGTGTCATTCGACGTCGTTAGTTTATACACAAATATACCGGTGGATTTGGGTATAAAAGCTGTTAAATATTGGATTGACAGATATCCAGATTTACTACAAGATCGTTTTGAGAAAGAATTTATATTGGAAGGATTAAGAATAATACTTCTAAACAATACCTTCGCCTTTGGAAAAGATCATTTTATACAAACAAAAGGAACAGCGATGGGGACAAAAGTGGCTCCCACATATGCCACTTTAACCTTGGGATATCTCGAACAGAAACTACATCACCACCTAGCTACTCTATGGGGAGAGGAAGATGCTGAATCTATAATATCAAAATGGAAAAGATTTCTGGATGACTGTTTTATTCTATGGAATGACAATGTTGACAGATTATCCGTTTTCCACCAGTTGTTAAACGGCTTGGATTCTAATATCAGATTTACAATGGAAAGCAGTGATACCAAATTACCTTTTCTTGACGTCCTAGTCATCAAAGAAGATACAAAACTTTCTACGGATATATATTACAAATCAACTGACACCCACCAGTACCTACATTTTGCTTCCTGTCACCCTCACCATACAAAAACAGCAATCCCTTACAATCTTGCTAGACGTTTATGTGCTATCGTTAGCGATGATAACACTAGAGATATCCGACTTAAAGAGCTCAAGTCGTACCTTATAAAACAGGGATATCCTGAAACCCTCATAGATAACGGTATATTGAAAGCCAAAGGATATACACGATCTGAATTACTGTCTACAAAGAGCAAGGAAAATAAAACGGAAATTATTCCATTTGTGCATACTCACAACCCACGGAATCATAACTTGACCTCTATAATTCACCAACTGAACAACATTCTTAAAGGTGACCTATCAACAAAACGAATATATAAAGATGTAAAATTTATCAACAGCAGACGACAACCTAGGAATCTTAGAAGAATCCTGTGTTCTTCCCATTTTAAAAATACCTGCGCTGTCGCCAAGTGTGAGGACGCACGTTACGGGACATGCCAACATATCATAGAAGGATCAACTTATAACTTTAACGGAAGACAATTTACAGTCAACGCAAATATGTCTTGTGACACTAAAAATGTAATATATGTAATTACATGTCCTGGATGCCACCAGTATTACATCGGGGAAACAAGCAACCCGCTCCGCGCCCGTGTGCGTGTCCACAGACAACATATTAACTCACCGGAATATCGACAAATCCCTCTAATTGAGCATTTGGATCGCTGTGGAAATAAACAGTTTACTATATTTCCTTTTTACAAACTTTCAAATGAAAGTGACATCCAGAGACCCGAAAAAGAAAAACATTTTATACATGTTTTCAAACCTAAACTTAATTTATCGTAATCGTAATCACAATTGTACATATTGCTTTCATTCTACAAATTTCCCGCATTGTTTAACTATGACGTCACTATAGAATTTGTGTTCCGCTTATTATGACGTTATGACGTTATGTTGCTATGTTACCTATTGTAAAGCTTCTGAAGATTGAAAATGAAAGCGCTAAAGCTTTACTAAACGTTTTCGTGTTTCATTTTTTTAACATTCTTTGTGCCGTGGGCCTATTTTGGGCCTATTCTTAAAAACTACGTTAAGTGCCATGGGCCTAATTTGGGCCTACCGCTTAACTCATTACGTCACCAATAAAACTAATTATGACGTTCCTTCATTGTGTGTAGTTTCGCGCCATTTTGACAACCCCTTTTTGTTAAAAAAAATATTTTTTCCATACTGAATGTATGTCTGGAATATACGATAGAACGCCAATTTTACACAAGTATATTTCATTTCTCTTGATCTTTAGAAAATGCAAACAATGAATTCTGATTTGAATTTTATCGGAATAATAACCAAAATTCCTTTGCCTTCCTCCCCCTTCCACAAACACACACACACACACACACACGTTTCTTTTAAAATATATACATAAACACGAAAATTCCATCAATTTCAATACTTTACTGATTTGATTGTGGTAATTATGAAATAACAAAATATCATTATAATTTCAGTAAAATTAATTTTATATTCAATGTCGGCACTATATCTACATGTAACAAGCTAGAGATAGCAGGGACCTATAGATAGCCTTATCATGATATTCTATATGCATGTGCTGTGGCAATAGATAAGAATACAAAATAATCGACTATAAATCACTTATGTATATGCCGTTTTAAATCAGTAAATTACTTTTATGTCTTCTAATGCTAGGCTAGCTCACTGCAGCTAGTTTTTGCTAAATTTGTACAAATCAAATAAAACACATTCATAGAGATGAATTATGTCATTTATTTAAATGACGGTATAAACGTAAACAATTTAACACTCAAGAAGGGGATCAGACTCACAGGCTCTGATTGTAAGTTACGTAAAATAATCAGTAAATTACCTTTACATATGGAAATTACGTGTACATGTACAGTAGATCTGTTTGCGAACACACACTATATTCATTTTACAAATGTGCTAATTGCTAATTATATCTAAAAAAAAAAAAAAAAAAATTAACCTCAAAGTGTAAGCAAAATGAATATTTTTTCCCCTCATAAATCACCTGTAATTTATAAGAATGATCAACTTTGTACGTTAAAGACTTTGAGACACACGTTACACGTGGACACTTATGATGCCATACCTAAAAGCTCAACTATATATAAGGCAAACGGACAGATGTCTGCAAATTATACTGTTATCAACTATTAAGTCACTGTGTATTCCAACTAATAGACAGAGTTTAGTCCTCAGCCACACATAAGTGGTCAATTAAACAGTCTTTATGTAACCCTCTATGGCAGCAAGTACAGATTGTTCTCGCTCTTCGGCGACCACCAAAGCCGTAGCGGTCCGAACAAACCGAATATTCTTTTTGCCTGCCACTTGGAAGCTTCCTGAGTTTTACTTTGACAAATCCTCGTCCAGTAGCCGTGTTCTCAACAGTGTCCTCTTTATCGGTCAGATGGTCTTTAGCTAGATCGTATATAATACTTTGAATAAAAGAAAGCCTGCTTTTCACCGGAACATCTGACGTATTCTTTTTATAGAGTATATATGAGTTAATTACCATTCTGTGTATCAAGTTGAAAACTATTTTTCGCCAGACTTTCATGGACTTTCTGTTGCTATTGTATGAGGTCATCATCAGATCTGCAAGGTCCACACCACCCATATTTTTGTTATAGAAGTCGAGCACTTTAGGCTTACCGTGTACGTTGTTTACCGCCTTTTCTTTCGTTGTTAATATTCGGACTGGTTTTCTGTGTTCTTTTTCTTTATAACTACAGAGACCTACTTCACCTTGACGCATATAGATAGACTCATTTTGTCCTAACTGAGGATTTTTAATTTTGTTTGGCATGTAGCGATTTTGTTTAAGTGTTCCAGTTATGTATGTATGATCACGGAGAAGTTGTTTGGCCAAATCAATAGATGTGAAAAAACTATCACAAACCACGTGATACCACTTGTTCAGTAATCTGGACGACGCAAGTAACATATTAATGACATATGAGCCTTGTGTTGTGCCCCTGGGGGTGGGATCATACCGCTTACCTCTATATATTTTCATATTAAAAATATAACCCGACGCTGCTTCTACAAGCATCCATATTTTAACCCCGAACTTTGCACTTTTTGATGGAATGTATTGCAACATTGTACATCTACCTCTTGTTGCAATTAAACTTTCCTCAATACTGATATTTTGTTCAGGAACTAAGTGGTTTGATGATTGGATATTAAAATGGTCAACAAGCACCTGAAACTTTGCTGCGGGACAGTAGTTGGGATCATTCCTGTTTGGGATATCATTGTTGTTAACCAAGTGAAAAAACTGTAGAATTTGTTGAAATCTATTTCTACTAAATACACTCCGTAACCAGCTTGTTTCCTGACTTTTATATGTTGTGTGCCAGTATTCACTAATGTTTGCCTTTCTAATTAGCCCCATATTTAGTATAACGGCGATAAACGCTTTCATTTCGTTGAATGTAACTTCTCCAACTCTTCGCCAATCGAGCAGTCTTGAAAATCTCCGTATGTAATCCTTACTTGCAATGTACTGCGCGGCATATCTACAAGGAGGGATTAATTATTTGTAAATGTAGATCTGTCAATTTTGAGAAAAAATCATTTTTTTTTTTCGATTTTTTTCTTCTAGATACATGTATTTGTGTTTGAATTGATTTCAAATGTTAGACAAATGATATAAGAAATACTAGCATAAGCATTTTTAAAAATATAAATTGTACACACGTTTGATTGAGAGAGAGAGAGAGAGAGAGAATAAGAGAGAGAGAGAAATCATGTGACCCACAACTACTCAGGTAAATTGAAACTTTGGTAGGCGGTGAGATGTATCTAAGACAATATCAGAGGGCTGGGGAGGGGGGTTCTTTCCTTCTCTCTGACCATATCGATCTTTCTTTCTCTCTTGAGAAGCTGGCAGTTTTAAAGCCATAGGCCATTAGGGTGATTATTTCACCTCAGTTGCTCTTAATTTGTAACAGACGACTTAATTTAAAATATTCATTCGGACAAATTAGATGTTTGTTCGGACGAATTAGAAATTCGTTCGGACAATTAAGAAATTCGTTCGGACAAACAAATTAGATATTTGTTCATGTAGAATATGTCTTATATCTGTTAAAAAAACTATATAAAAATTTATATTTATATTTAAATTTCATGAAAGTACATGTACATATACTAAGTATGCAAAGTATTAAAAAGTACAAAATACTATGATTTAATGCATATTAAGCGTCGCAATGATTAAGACAAATTAATTGTTTATAATTAGAGGGGGAAACAACTTGAAAATATTTTGGCATTCATTCATTCATTCTTTATTTCCTTATATAAGGTATTAGTGAGTGGGATTCAGAATCTCCTGAGTCCTCCAGGCTAGTGAATCTTTGACCTATCAAACCTCCAAACTGATACTGTGAATGTATAAAATGTAGAAATGCTGTAAATGAAATTCAATAATATTCTGTCCTACTACCTCTAAAATACTATCTAATTTGTCCGAACAAATATCTAATTCGTCCGAAGGAACTCCCAATTCGTCCGAACAAATATCTAATTTCTCCGAACGAATTTCTAATTATTTAGTTAGTCTGAAGAAATAAATATTTTTATCTGGCCCTCCAGCGGCTCCGTAGGCTCGAAAACCCTTTTTGACTTGGACGGACATTCTTTCGAGCCGATATTGTACAATATAACAAACAATATACTGTAGTAATTATTTTACAATAAATCAGATAGTATATAAACCTGTCTCACAAGGGACCTCTTTCACAAAGTAATGTGAACATTTTGTTCATGCATCATAAAAGCCCCTCTATACACTAAAGTAATATATTTTTTGGACATTGAGAAAACTGTAGTGTGTAAAGGTGTAAATATTGAGTTCATCTATTACATTTTCAACATAAGGTATCTTGCATTTACCCCCAGGAAAAATGTTCAAAGACAATGAAGTACTGATGAACACAAATCACTCTTGTTTACTAAAGTGGGCAAAATACCTGCAAATGAAGTTTTCAATCTTTTAATCTTGGCCTATTAAAATGCTATGAATGCTCAATTTGATCGCAGATCAAGTAATAAACTGTATATTTCATTTTTTTTAAATTTTACATCAAAGGGTAGATTACTCTATCTGCATAAAAATACCATAAAATCAGAACTCTTTAGTGTGCTGCGTATAGAGGGCTCTTAAGCAAATTTCTAAAAAGGAGAATTATATACTAGTATTTCAATTATATATGTTTGTTTAAGTGGGATCAAATACTCGATCTCCATTTTACTGACAACGTGTAGGTACAGTACAGTGTGTTGTCCATTTAATGGCCACATTAATGCACTTTTAAAACTGTGCAATCAAATAGACCCCCCCCCTCCCGAAGAGAATAAGGAAAAAGGAATATACCTGTTGGTCTCCAATACCATCCTATTGATAAGGTCAATAGTCACCATAAGAAAGAAATAAGAAATGGGCTTGCTGTCGTGTGGTGGCATATTTTTTGGTCCAAGATTTTCCTTGAAATTGGACGGTTCTTGGTCCTCTGGTTCTGGGGGAAGGGCGCGTATCCAGGGCTGTTGGTTCACATACACCATTTCTTCTTCATCGTCAGTTTCAATTTCGGTCTCTAATTCTGAGTCAGAGTTTTCAGAAAAATCTTCAGAGTCAGTTTCGCTCATTTTTAAGTCTACAGACACCTGTCTAAATTCACCGTTGCAGGACGCTGGTCGTAATGATGTAATGACGTCATAATCAAAATATGACGTTCAACGTCAAGACACGTTATTTTTCCCTTTTTATCATGTTTATTTTTATTTGTTTCATGTATGTTCCTGTACGGTAATCTGCTTTATAATAACAAACTAGGAGACTAATTGTTCTCGAACAATTAGAGGTCTTTCCACCTTCTTTAAATTTCTTTAATTTTTATATTTTACTCTCTAAAGTAAATTTTTATACAAAAAGAATCCATAAATGGCTTGAAAGATAGAAAAAATGAAAAAATTTAAAAATTTGAAATGACCTTGACTTTTGACCTTAAAAAATATTCAAGGTCAAAGGTCAAGGGTCACATTGCACTTGACCCCATACTTCTACGACTTTTAGTTTCAAAGTTATAAGATTTAATAGTAAGTGCAAAGACGTTAAAGGGCAATAACTCATATAAGGGGTCATCGGATACTTTCGCACTAAATAGATTGAAGTTGTGTCTAAAGACCCTGAAGACATTAGTGAAGGTTTTGTGTCTCTACAGTTTACGGTTTCGGAGGAGTAGCGATAACAAGTTTTTCAGTAAAAGGGGCAATAACGTTTAAAGGGGTAAATTTCCGGGGACTAGTATGAAATCTTTGAAATAGTTTTAAGAGGACATATTAATGATGCAAAGATATTTAATATATATTGAAAGACAAAAGAGATATAAAAAGAGCCTAATTTCTCATATTTTCAATGACCTTGACCTTTGACCTTTGCATATATTTTAAGGTCAAAGGTCAATGAATCTTATGCAGTTGGTCCCATGTCTCTACGACTTATCGTTTTGAAAATTTTTAATTATTCGTAAACATCAAAAACTTTCAGGGGCAATAACTCATAAAAGGGGTGGACAAATACTTTCGCAATGAAAGGATTGAAGAGTCCCCTCAATAAGTCGAAGACATTGATGAAGGTTTCGTACCTCTACGGTTTACGGTTTCGAAGGAGTAGCGATAACAAGGTTTTTCGTACAAGGGGCAAGAACTCTGAAAGGGGTCATAGGTCATACTCGTTGGGTAGTTTTTCGAAATAACTTTTGATGTCGAGTATCATGAACTATAAAACTTTTTGATAAGTCTTTCGGTTCAAAAGGCGGTAGCGGAAAAATAATAATAATAATAATAATAATAATAATAATAAACAGAAGCATTTCAAGAGGTCTTTCCACAGAAAGGTGGAAAGACCTAATTATTTTTTTTATCATCAAAATGCTGAAAAAATTTAAATAATTTTTAATTTAATTAAGGAGGAATGGCACACCAAACTTTTATTTCATATGTCTTTAAAACATTCCCTGTTAAGTTATGGTTTCGGCATTTGAAAGACCGAAATTAGCTCATAATCTTTTTATAAGAATTTTTTACCAATTTGTTGAAGAACATAAAAAAGTACTTGTAAATATTTAAAGATACTTTAGAGATATATTGCTGTTCATAAATGCACAATATGAATACATGTACCTATTAAAATATATGAAGAAAAGCCAGATAGATATTTTAATATTTAACAAAAATATTTATTATTTGTAAATATTTTTGAAACTTATGAATATATTCAAGAAAAAGTCAAAGCTACTAAGGATATGTTAGACAATCATATTTTTTTTTAAAAAATTGAAATGCAATTGCAAAGTTTTAGAGAAATTATTTTTTTAAAGATATACACGCTATATAAACGCGATTTTTTTTATGTGAAACAAAATGATTATTATAAATGATTTGAGAAACATGATGTGCAATAAAAAAATAATTATTTTCCACAAAGTTTTACTAAATAAGTCGTTGTAATAACAAAACAATTAAGCAAGATCTGCAATTAAGAATTCAGCCAGGAATATTGATGAAGGAAGTGTGTAAACAGTGTATAAACACACATGTCCGCGGGAAATCATAGACAACGAGGTATTGCATTTTGACAACGATTTTGAATAAAAGTTAATATCTGTCATTACAGAGTAAACGGTTAATACTGGTGGTTTTCAAATAACAATAATTATAACTGATTTGAGATCTTTATAATGCGTTCATTTCCAATTGTGTAATTTACAATATTTTCGTAACTTTATTTGGTAAACAAAATAAATGAATTTCCAACTTTATTTTTAACTGACGCAAGTTATAGCGTGTATATCTTTAATTTGCACAATCCCGATCGAAATTCAATTTATCCCAACCAATATTTTATAATAATTTGAAATAGATAACATATTCACAAAAATACTACTTTGTTAACTATGTGTAATACGGGTTGAAAGTAATTGAACGTGATAATCAAATAGTTCTGTTTTAGTGTTAAATGCATAAAGAAGACAAGTATTATTTTATTTATTTTGTGATAATTTTGATCGGGTTCAGTTTTAATTTGATCGGGATTGGTCCAATATTTAAATAATTATTTTCCCTTAAATTTTGCAGTATTTCAATTTATTTTTTAAACATGTTCCCTCTAGTTGTAACTAGCTTTATGAAGATTTTTTTCTCTTTTGTATATAAATGTTGTTTCAATGATCTATTGGCACTGGCACTGTTTATGACGTCACAGTTAACTTTACATCATCGATTCACGGCAATAAAAAAACTGTCACGGCACAGTACGTTATTCAAACTTCAAATCTGGTTCGGCAGCGAAAAAGTTAAATTTGTACCTATATATATATATATATATATATATATATATATATATATATATATATATATATATATATATATATATATATATATATATATATATATATATATATATATACTATGCAAAGCCTACTTGACACATTTGAATTCTCCACAGAATATCTCTGATTAAAACAAAATGCCTGATAAACTGAATATAATAAAATAATAATAATGAGTTTCCTGAACAGCTTAATGTTTCATTACTCGTCATAAAATACCAATGTTTTAAATCAAGAGAACAGGATATACGAAAAGGATACAAATAAAATAGTTGGCCTTATCTATAACAAAAATAAGATAATAAGAAAATACAAAAAGATTGACATTTGCTATTATGTTTAATTATTGCATTTTCTTTTAAAATCAACGGCAATTTTTAATTCTTTTCAAATGCCGATAAACAAGCATAAAGATACATGTTGTATCGAAACATCCATGCATCAAATAAGATTCTCTTGTCAATTTCAACTTTTCAATTATAGACGTACTGTATTACAACATATTAAAGAAGTGTTGAAAATCAAAAATTGATGCTTTGAAACTCCAAAGAACTGTAAGAACTTGAAATAAGCTCTATTTACCCAAAATCAACTAAGCCATCAAATCTTTTATCCACGTTGTACCATTCCTCACGATATATTGAAAATAACGATTTTTGATATCATATCCAAATACTTTTTCAAAAAACTAAACTGGAAAATGACCTATCTAAAAGCTTGTGATTGGTAATCTGCAAAAACTTTTTTTGATATAGCCAATTTGGTTTTATTCAATTTTTGTTCAGAAACTTCTACACGAGAAAAAAAAATGTTGTCGTGTCCTTCATATGAACATAAAAATATACATTTTATTCATTCTTCTTGGTTATTTTCATTCATACATCAACTCAATGTGCTCAGAGTTTCCTTTCATTAGAATGAAATTCTTCAAAATCGCCCGTGAAATTTTATATCTGTAAACTGTGTAACTGTATGATATAATTTAAATTACTGATTTTTTGGATCACAACTATGACATAGCTAGTGATGAGTAAATACTGTACAAGTTTGCTAAATTACGGTGTTGTTCAGAGCAAACAGAAATAAATGTTCTATTACTAGAGCCAATTACTCAGAATTTGATAAAGTAAACCTCGCCATTTTTTTTTTTTATTTTTTGTAAAATTGTTGCTGAAGTCCTTGCCAACACACTACTGCTCTATCTAACTAGGTGGCAAAAAAGAGAACCAAATTTATAAATTCAAAGCTCACCTTACAGTATTTGATATCACGCTGAGAAAATAGATAACGTTATGCGATCTTTGGAGTCCAGATCAGATATTCATAGACTAAAAATCAGTACACACTACCAGGGTTTTTAAAAAAGATATCAAATGATGAAAATCTATTAATTTCTTTAAACAAATGCAAACGTACAAAAATTAGCACTTACATAGTTTTAGCTTAGGTTTCCTATAAAATTGCTTTAGAGAAGGCATACAACATCAAAACTTATTTGAACTCTTAAATTACAGAAAAAAAAGAAAAGGAATTTTGCTCTAGAGTGGCGAAGTAAGGAGTTGATCTTTACGTCGCAGGTATATATGAATCCCACTGTGGGACGTGGAGACCGGTCATTTGGATGAGACCGTATAAACCGAGGTCCAGTGTCGCAGTAGGTGCTGGCACGAAAAAGATCCCTCACTGCTCAATGGCCGTAAGTGCCGAGTATGGGAAAAAATTTGCAGCTCTCCACCGGCAAGTGGTGGCGTCTCCATATGAGTAAAAAATTATCGAGAGGGACGTTAAACAACAAACAAACAAACAAAACAATGTTGCGTTTTTCTTTTAAAAAACTATTCAAAAGTTTTTATTCCATAAGTTTCTTTCTGTAATGCAATAGCGAAGGAGAAATCTGAAATACCTTCATTTGACTTGCAATTGGTCATATCTCCGAGATTTTGGATATTTCAATTATTCGCTTCTTTAACTTGCCAATTGTTCACGGTAGCTCAGTCGGTAGAGCGCTCGCTCCGTGATGGGAAGTTCGTGAGTTCGAATCTCGGCCACGACTGACCTAAGTCGATAAAAAATGGGTAGCAGCTGTTCCTTCGCCATGCGCTCGGCACTTTAAAGTGAAAGTTGCGGGTCCTTCGGATGAGGCCTTAAAAACCGAGGCCCCGTATCACGGTATGCGTTTGCACGATAAAGAACCCTCACTGCTCAATGACCGAGAGTGCCGAGTAAAGGTCTAATTTGAAACCCTTCACCGGTATA